CTTAGTAGGGATCGATACTTGTTTCATCAAAATCTGCCATAGTTACCCTGCTTTCGAATATTAGATTCCAAAATTTGACAGCTGATACCGCCTCACCTGTCATATACAAGGTTGCGCCCATGATAAAAAATTTTGCTTACGGCATCCCTAATAACATATTTAAATTTCATCCAAATATCACGGGTAACCAATTTCCGTTTAAATATTGAAAAAGGACCCCTTTTCATGATTTTTTTGCATCTAAGTGAGAAAAAATTCATAATTCCATTTCTGAGCCTGAGATCTATCGGCGGTTCGTTCTGTTTGCTGAAAAGGCCCTAATGAATAAATCCTGGAAGATTGAAGTGTCTTCGACTGCTTGAAGTATTTTTCAGAAGCTTCCAAATGTTATTTTATTATAAATTACACATGATTCCATTGCGTCCAAGTAAGAAAAAACTCTTTGCTTTGTTTGATAAAAAGGCCCTACTCAATAAATCCTGAAAGTTTGAAGTCTCCCTGATTGATTGAGGTATTTTTCAGAAGCTTAAAGTATTTTTCAGGAGCTGTCAAATGTGATTTAATGACTTTATTGCATCTAAGTGAAAAAAATAAAAATAAAATAAAATTACCTTATTGCATCCAAGTGAAAAAAAAAATCATAATTCTATTTCTGAGTCTGAGAATCATGCGCAGTTTCTTCTGTTTGATAAATTCACCCTACTCAATAAATCCTGAAAGTTTGAAGGCCCTCTGATTGCCCAAAGCTTCTAGAGGTGATTTAATAGAAATTTTACATATTTTTTTTGCATCTAAGTGAGAAAAAGATCATAATTCCATTTCTGAATCTGAGATCCGATCGCGGTTTGTTTGGTTCGATAAAAAGAACCTACTCAATAAATCCTGAAAGTCTGAAGTCCCTCTGATTGCTTGAAGTTTTTTTCAGATACTTTCAAAGGTGATTTAATAAAAAGAATCATGATTTTTTTGCATCCAAGTGAGAAAACATTCATAATTTCATTTCTGAGCCTGAGATCCATTCGCGGTTTGTTTTGTTGGATGAAAAGTCCCTACACAATAAATTCTGAAAGTTTGACAATAAGGCATTATTTAAAAAAGATCGCATGTCTGTAAGATCAAATTTCAGCAAATTTTAGGATTTGGCAATACTATTAAAACAACTAAAAAAAATCCTATTCTCTCGGAGCAAACCGCATCTTATCTTTTATCGTTTTCGAGGTATTTATCTGCAAAATGCGTCAGTTTATCTGAGGACACCATGTATAATAAGATATTATTCCTGAAAACTGCAGTGTTAAAACTATTTATTTTAGTGTAGTTTTGTGTTTCATTTATCTAGCTTCTTATGCACGTCGCGATTGTCTAGCTTTTCTTGAACTTTCGTCTCGCGGTCGGTGAGTAAATAGCTTGCTGCATGTATTGCAGCCTTGTAAATCAAGGCTCTTTCGACGTCCTTTAAATTACTCTCCAATATTCTAACAAAATTTTGGTGAAACAATTTCTTGAAAACTCAAAAATAGAAAACAAATTAATTTTTATCACAAGTTATTGGGCTAACTTATCAGAAGGGCTAGGGGGTTCGATCGAGGTTCATTCGACCTCGGCGTCTTTTTACTTGCTCTCCAATATTCTATCAAAATCGTGTTTGTTGCATTGGTTGTTTTTAATGACAATGACAAGCCGATTACGCTGAACGATACGATTAGTTTTGCGCTCGCGCAGTACGGTCACCTGACCGAATCATGACCAATTGTAACATGGAGAAGTATGTGACCATCCATCGACCGAATGATTGGTCAAAAATAGGGTCTTGCTGGACGTGACATGAAAATGGACTACAATTTAATTATGGAGGGAAAACAATTTATAATAATTAACGGCCATTGGGTAAAGCTGTAAAGTGTAAAATATTGCCCCACAATGTTATTGCCTTCAAATAGCAAGCCCACCCACGGTTGGACGAACTTTTGAAAGTGTGCCGGGAAATTTCAGTCTATAGCGGCCCATACATGGATCGATTTATGGGGCACATCCCCACACTTAGATGTGATCTAATGAAATAATAACAACAAAGATAAAACAATAAATACTGAATAAAAACGCAGAATAAAAAATTAAAAAATAACTCATTCCCAAGTCAACTATCACAAGATGTCTTTATTTAAGTTCACTATCACCAACACATCCAAATTTTCCATTGTAAGTCAATTCCCTAATGGATTTTTATGTCTTCAAGTGTTGACAAGCATTTTTTGCACCCTATCTGTCAACACGCTAAAATTAAAACCTGGTGAAGGCCTGTAGAGATGTATGATCTGTATTTATACGAAACATTAAAAGGGCGAACCAAGCATTGTTTGTGGAGTGAATGTGATGAACATTTTTTTTTAGAAAGTTCTAATTTATTCCCTGTATCCAACCCTTTGTCATTTACATCAAGTCTGTTTCTGCAGAAATCACAAACCAGACGGAGCGAACTTCATTGGCTGAAAACAGCCAGAAAACTAGTTTCAACCAATGAAATTCACTCTGACTGGTTTGTGATTTCTGCAGGAACAGACCTATTATCATTATCTTTATCTCCATCATTGGATTCAGAGAGGTCATACAACTCCATTTCGGGTCAGGCCATTTTCTTCCAAAATCCGTTAATTCATTCCTCAAAATAGCCCCGGCATGTTCTATTTTTTATGAAAACGAATTGCGAGTAATGAATCTTGAATTATTACATCACTTTCATTTGCTTCGAGTCCTTTATTTGCCCAATTGTCAAACATTCTTAGGACTTCGTACTTCTTTCATGTTGCGTTGTTCCTTTTTCAGTGCCTCACAAGTTGTCCTTTGATCTCTGACTCTGGTTTGAAAGCAACTTGATAATCTTGTTATTCTAAAGGTCGGCCCACACTCCGATCGGCCCACCGGGGATTTCCCGGTATCCCGATGGGTTCATCCAACCCTGAGCCCACCCCGAAAATACAAGGTTTTATTTGGAGTGGAAAGGAGATGTATAGCTTCTGTCGATACTATATCTATCACTTTTGTGTTGTATAATATGTATCTCATATGATGGGGGGGGGGGCAATGATTTATCGATGTTTTGTAAATATAGATAGATTACTCAAATATATCGATATATTTTAATCGATATATCTTACATTCGATATATCGGAACTTTTATAATAATGCCTTCGCTCTTGCGCATAGTTCATTGGTTGACAGTGACAGTCTGACATTGACAGAGGCGGCTAAAATAAAACTTCATTCCACGACATGAAAGTACCAAGGTAACCTAACATTCCATAATTATTTTACTTTTCTGCAGTAGTAAGGAAAAGTGATACAGTAGGCTCGCGCTAGTGTGAACACAAAAAAACAGGACGTGTTCATATTATCGAGATGTTCACACCATCGAAGGTCTACCTAAAACTGCAAAATATTGTCAGCAATGTTCTCTAAACTTAAAATTCAAGAAAAATTAATACAATAGATACTTGCGAACATATCTATTAGGTGAATTTTCCCAGTTCATTGATTAAAGTGAGATGTAAATTTTGTCTGTGTGGTTCTAGCTGACCATTGGATGGCTACCTACTTTCTTGAAAGTTTCTTAGGCTTTCTGTGTTATTAACGCCAATATATGCTGTTACCTTGCTGGCAATCTTCTAGAATTTTTGACATCTCATGAGCTCTGTTCTCACGAAAGTCCCTGACAGTTTCGAAACTGTCAGTAACAATCGCTCAGCTAAGTTACTGATGTATCTTGGAACGACGTCAATGAAAACATGCATTGGCGACAATGACATCATATTACGTTTCACTAGTGAAATGTCATTGATCGGCGATGCATTCTGACAGTTTGCAAACTGTCAGAGACTCTTGTGAGAATAGACCTATAGAGAGTTAAAAAAATTGTATTTTTCGCCATTTTCACAAAACTGATTAACCACAACAAACAACGAACTAAAAACGTATAGACTTTTGAATATGCACTTGAATCGCTACCACTTTTGTATTCCAGATTAGAGTGAGTGCAGTAACTCAACATATCTGTGCATTCCTTGTCTCAAAACATTCAGGGAACCCCAGAATTGGACGGAAACAACCGATGAAAATAACAAGTAGGCAGAAAACGGTTAAATTCGTGGTCAAATGCATTGTTCATACTACCGAGATTCCCAAAAGTTCACACTACAGAATAGATAATGTATTCATTCTGGCTGTTCATACAATCTAAGGTTCATACTACTGGGAGGTTCACAGAAGCGTGTATTCACACTAGCGCGAGTCTACTGTATTTTCATGGCCTGAAATGCGTGCAGAAAAAAGCACTTTTCGCACGCTCGAATAAAGAAAATTAAATATATATCGATATAATCAAGATATCTATGTTTTTCGTTCGTTATATCGAATGTATCGATATATTATTTCGATATGATTCGATATATCGGTATACGCATGTTTTTTTATTCAGCGTTCTGTTGGCTGCGTTGTCTGGCTGTTGGTCATCAGAGAATTTCTGTTGGCTTGCTGTTGTGCTGGTGAGTTGATGGATAAAACAACGGGTAGAAAACTTTTAATAAACGTTCAGACACAAACGTAGTTTCCATAGGTTAATGCGACCTCCACTTGGAAAATATTTCACAACTTTTCCCAATCGCCCTTAATTATGATTTGTTTTCCCCCAAAAATTAAATCATCCTCCATTTTCAATCCACGCCAAGCAAGCCACTATTTCTGACCAATCATTTGGCCGATAGATGGTCGATGGTCACATGCTTTTCCAAGTTACAATTGGTCAGGATTCGGACACGTGACCGTACTGCGCGAGCGAAAAACAAATCGTACCGTTTGGCGGCGGGATCTGGCTTGCGGTTGCACTGCTTGCAGCAATTAGCAAGTAGCAACCGTCATTATTAGCATTATTTCATTTTCGTTTTCGCCGGCCGTTGGCGTTGTGTGACTTAACTGTTCCTGTTGTATCGCGCTATTTTCGCGAAATTATGGTGAGTTTCGCATGGAAATCAATTGAAAAAAAGATTTGAATTTGGTGGATAATTGATTTGGCAATCGTACAAAGCAATTTTGAAGTTGGCGTTAGATATGTGAGAATAGTGATTTTTTTTGTGCATATTTTCAGGCTGGTGATAAAGCGGGAAAACATGGCGGAAAATTCAAAGGAAAGCGTTCGGCCCGTGCTGGCTTACTGGTAAAAACAGGTTTTAAAAGTTGTACCAGCTACGAAAGTATTATTTTTTTTTAGTTCTCTGTGAGTAAAGCTCTAAGAGATCTCAAAAAACTGAATACCAGTCATGTAAGAGTCGAAACTGAGGCTGCGGTCTGTACGGCGGCAGTTTTGGAATTTCTAGCAGCTGAGGTAAGTTTTACCAGAAAAATTTAGCGGGAAAACTGAAATTCATTAGGTGTATAGGGTATACTTGCACATTTTTGGATTATATTTATATATAATTTTTTTTGAATTCTGTGGGTAAAAAAATCAAAGTAAATTCAAAAAATACAAAAGCGCGCGAAAACAGCTATTTCGTTGTGACGTCATTACATAGTGAATTGCGGTGTTGTCGAATGTTCGCATGGTGCAATTTAGGACAAGCACCCACCCGAATTGTGCAAAAGTTAAATATTTGTTATAATAAAGCGTCATCCAACTTCACTTTCTGTTTACTGATTGCTGTTTGATGTTTATTTATAAAAATTATTCCTTATCATATTCAACATTATACCTAAATGCTTTTCTTTTTCCCAAAAACGTAAATGCATTTTGCAATTCAATCATGGTGACCTAGGTTAAACATTGAAATTCACTCCACATATAAGGATTATCCATACAAATAGGTTGAAAAAGGTAAATTAGGTACATTGGATTCCTTAACAGTTAGCGCAAGTCATTATCAGGAAGGAAAATGATTCTAAGAGGGCAAAAAATGGAAGAACTGATAAAAACTGAAGCGTTGATGACAGTAGCTTTGACCTATGCCGCCATATTGAATTTGGGTTTTGAATCTATTGAATCTTGTTTCTTAGAAGAAAAACACATCAATTTCTGAGCGAGATACAAAAAAATTAACTCTGAGGCTCAAATTTCATGAAATCTTGATTAGTGCAAATCCAATTTTGTTATCTTGAACCGATTTTGAGCAATATTAGCTTTGTTTTCGTTTCAGTCAGAACTAGTTCGGAATCATTCTGCACATGCGCATTTTATAAAATGCGTTTTCGTTTTTTCAGAATCGTAATCGAACTGTCCCACATAACAGTGAAAGAACATTCATATTCTCAGAATATTCCCTCAAAGTACTTTTTGGAATGTTCTTTTAGGAATGTTCAATGAATATTCTAAGATTGTTTCGATTGAAATATTCATTTTTGAACGATCTATTTATGTACTAGGAATGTTGCTTCTATGCACCTACCTGAAAGATTGTGCTAAGAACCTACTTTATGTAACATTATTTGAATATTCTCATACGAACATTATTATAATGTACTCTAAAAAATGTTCTTTCGGCTAATATCTCTATCAAGTATTAAGAATATACCTACCAAGTTGTGCTGAGAAGTTAATGTAAGTAGGTACCCATGATAAGAATATTTCCATATTTTTCACCTAATTATCTAAAGTACCTACTCAAAAACTTATTTGAAAAATTAAACAATAATGCTCTATCTAGAACCTACTAAGAATAATATAGGTATATTCTTTTTCTATTGCTTTGTAAGACTTCCAAGAGAGGGAGCCACGCGCTATTAAAGATCTACATCTTGCCTCGCGTTTGAATCACCTTGGAACCTGTTTCTCTCAGTTGGCGTGCTTAGACGAGAGCATAAGCTCGAAACCGGAGCTTTGGTTAAATACTTGTGTTTTCCAGAGAAATTTTCCAACAATTCTTTCACTGCCTTTAATATAAAAGGAGCATTATTTGGAAAAGAAAATTAACATTCCAAGTATATCCTTACAATCAAACAAGAATGTTATGTCTAGGATACATATTGAGAATGATATATGTAGATATATTCTAAGAATATTTCAAGCATATTGGTATAATATTCTTTTGAGAACATAACTATAATGTCATAGATACATTCTTTGAATATGAGAATATACATTTCGACCATATTTTTAGAATCAAACAGGAATATTCTTTTCAGGATATACTGAGAATCTCATAGGTATATTCTAGGAATATCCTAATGGATTTCCCAGAACCTTTTCTCAGAACATTCTCAGGACATTCGCAATGGTTTTGGCGAACATTCTAGGCACATTCCTCCTAAAAAAAGAACATTCTTATTACATTCTAAGGATGCAATTTTGTTATGTGGGGTGTTGACAGCGTTTTGGTTTATTTAGAACTATATAAGAACAATTCTGGAATTGTTCTAAAACGGTTCTCTCAGTTCTTGCTTTGAAGGAAGGAACTGTTTTGGAATTTTGTAATAAGCGGCTTGTTTTGTTTTTTTTTTGGTTCCGAATCAGTTCAGAATTAGTATCAGAACAGTCCTCCAATATTTTTTGTGCGCAAGCAGTTCTGTGCAATCCCAGAACCGTTCCAAATTTTGAACCAAAACAGAGCTAATGTGAAACCTTTATAACTTTTTGTTTATGAAAATAATTGACTTCCGTTAAAACTTTCTGGAAGCACTTTTTTTCTAGTTGGCCCTAACTTTGAGATATTTACCAAAATCCGGGTTTTTGCAATAGGACACTCTGGGTAGAGTGGGGCAGGTTCGGACGAATTTGGTTAAAGTGATGCCGAACTTTTATTTTAGCTGAACTAAATGTTCTAAAAATGCAAATATATCGCTTCATATGTTTTTAAACCAATACCATAGCAATTTCAGAAAAAAATTGCACCGTTTTCGTGAAAATTAAAAAAAAAAAGTTGCCATTTGTTCGAAGGTGTCCCACGGTGGTGTAGTTTTGGACACGCATGGGGTTACCCCATTGGGGTAACTCCGGACATATACCTACTTTATAAACAGTTTATTTTTTGACAGGTATATTTTAAATAATTTAGCATCTATCTAAACGTCAAAACTTATAGTCTAAAGGAACTCCAATCATACAAACCTATGAACTTTGGCACTAGCCTACAAAAATAAATAATATAAAAGTACCAAAAATAAATGACAAAAATATCTAAATTAAACATGTTTTTATTATTAAAGTATAAAAGAAATTTTTTTTTTTAAATTGAAAGAACTCAATTCAACGTAAATTTTACGTTGAATTTTAAGAATGTAGCCATGCGAGCATTCCCAGCATGAGAAGTTGATAGTCCGAATGTGCCCCACCCTGTACTGTTCGTATGTGCCCCAGATGTACAAAATGTAGAAAAACTTAAAAAAACCGATACCTAATGATGTCTTGTCGATTCTTGAAATATGGGTTATATGTGGTATGAAACTATTATACTTTGCACGTATACCCCTTTAAAACTTAAAAATTACATCACCAAATCGTGCAACACCTTACGAGTAGACGACGTAATACTTAGTTGGGGTCCCAAATTTCTCAAGATACCGGCACAAAATTTTGTCTGGCGTTATGGAGTAGGCACTGGTACCAACTGCTGAAATGCCAAAACACGTTTAGTTTTGGAAGGCGGTAAATTCAAAATGTCCAGAGGCGCCCCATGTCCGAACCTGCCCCACTCTACCCTATATATTGAGAGCTCATTGGAAAGATCTACTTTTGCTGATTTTAATGACATAAAGTTCATAGGTTTATCTCTAACAGTTTTCTAGGAAAAACATTATTTCGGTTTTTTTCGTAAGAAACAATTGGGTTAGAAAGAGATATAATAAATAACAGTTTCGCTTATAGATATTTCTATTCTCGATACGACATTTCAAAAATATCGATACGCGTCAAGTGGCATCGATATTTTAAATATATAACCGATACCTCTGTATCGATATGCTAATTTTTTTGTGGCGCCATCTATAAGCACCCAAGAAAATAACAAAAGCTGGAAAAAGTTAATTTTTTTTTCGCGTACTTGCTTTTTTTTGAGAAAGAGAAAGAAGCAAACGTCATATCATATAATTTTGTTATTTGAAAACGTGATTATCTATTTAGGCTTCGACAACATTCCTGAAGGCCGTATCGATACGTATCCGATACGTCAGAATGTTTCTAAATCGGTATCGATACGGTGTCGATATATCGAATCGATAAGCGAAACTATGATGTAAATTCCTTTTCTAACACATTGCTTCTTTTCTTATGACAAAAACCAAAATAATTTTTTTTTCTCGAAAACTGTTACAGATAAACCTATCGAACTTTATATCATTAAAATCAGCAAAAGCAAAGTTTTTCAATGAGCTATCAATATACAGGATGTCCCAGGGAAAACAGTCCACTCCGATTTATTGGATTTGGGATGAGAATCTAGAAAAACGCTTGGACACGTCGATGTTTGATTTGAGAGGGAACTATTTTTCCGTTTTTCATACCCGTAGCTTCAACCTCCTAGCTAGGGAGAGAACAACCTCCCAAATTTGAATAGGGGATAGGGGTCGTGTCATAACTCTTTCTAAAGGTCTCGTCGAGTTCTTTATGGCCCTAGAATTTCGTTTTATTATTTTCATCCGTAACGAAATGACCGCTTGTCAAAATCTTGGAAATAGACTATTGTTTTAGTAGGAGTAAAAGCGGTACCTACCTTCCTGAATAAAAATACGAGTAAAAATACCTACAGTTTACAATTCTCGTCTCGTGTACACCTCATTAATAATAAAAATAAAAAACTTCAATTTCAAGTATTTTTATTAAGGGAGGTGAGTACCTATCGCTTTTACTCCCACTAAAACAATAGTCTATTTCCAAGATTTTCAGAAGCTGTCATTCCGTTACGGATGAAAATAATGAGATGAAATTCTAGGGCCCTAAAGAACTCCATAAGAACTTTAAAAAGAGATATGACACGACCCCTATCCCCTATCTAAATTTGGGGGGTCTTTCTTCCCCTAGCTAAGGGGTTGAAGCTACGGCGGTAAAAAAAAACTGAAAAATAGTTCACCCTCAAATCAAAAATCGACGTGTCCGAGCGTTTTTCCAGATTCTCATCCCAAATCCAATAAATCGGGGTGGACTGTCTTCCTTGGAAAATATCATTGGTCTGTATCCCAAATTCGGGGCCAAAGAGAAAAAAACTGATAACGTCACTGAATTCTGCTTGAAAAAGTGCTTCTAGAAAGTTTTTATGGAAATCAATTATTGAAGTTATGAAGGTTTCACAGTATTGCTCAAAATCGTGAATCGCCCTCTATCGGCTACACGGTCGAAGATATCAAAATACGGTTTTTACCAATCAAGATTTCATGAAATTTGAGCACTTTCCTATTAAAAGT